CAAAAAATATTTATGCAGAAAAAGGCAGGCTAATGCTCCAAAGAGAATGCAAGGAATCCTGATAAAGCACTTGGGCGTTCATGTGGGCCATGTCTAAAAGCCACACACCCAGTAGTTTCTCTATTCAAACAAGCACTAGGTGGTGAGGCACCCAGAATGTTCATATGCTGACTGCCAGCTGCAGCATGGCAGTGATGGTCTCAGCAACCTTATGAGGTCCTTATTAGTCACAGTGATACCAGATGTAGAGAACACTTACAAGGAATTACCGTGGCTATACTGTTGATTTTTCACCTGTACCTGGCTCTATCTACCTGCATACTGTAAGAGATACGGAACTAACAAAAAATGGGAAGCTTATCCTCTTACCTTCTTTCCTAGTTTATGATTGCAATAACTCTCGGACAAATGAAGAGCATTCAGGTGAGCCGACATCTTCTCTTCTGTTATGTGTTGCTTCACCACAGGTTTGCTGCAATGCCAGATCAGATTTCCTCAACAATTAAGTTTTCTATATCTTTATGAGGTGACAATAAAAAGTCATAAATGATTCAAATACATCATGTTTCAGTTAAAAGGTATAATACTATACATTTGTACAAGTAACTGTTTGTACCAACTTACACCTCTTCTAGCTCATCCTCTGGCTTCCGCTTGTAAACATAAGGAGTGCCTAAGTGTGACCCAGCCATTCTGGAAAGAAAGAGAGATGACATTAGCCTACTTACAGTTATTTAAACAAAATGTCAATTACACACCAACTGTGGCTATCACAATTGTGTGATTAACGGCCCACACTTGGTAAAATGTAGAGTAAATCTTCACATCTTGTACAAGCTACACCATCATGTCATGACAATATTTTCTGAAGAATACCTACTTTCTCCTATAAACCCTGCTCAAAGATGTGAATTTGATAGAGAATATTATAAGCTATGGGGATGGGGGTGAGGGTGAGTGGCAGGAGGAGGAGGAGGAGGAGGAGGAGGAGGAGGAGGAGGAGGAGGAGGAGGAAGAGGAGGAGGAGGAGGAGGAGGAGGAGGAGGAGGAGGAGGAGGAGGAGGAGGAGGAGGAGGAGGAGGAGGAGGAGGAGGAGGAGGAGGAGGAGGGCTAAGGGGGGGAGGAGGAGGGCTAAGGGGGGGAGGAGGAGGGCTAAGGGGAGGAGGAGGAGGAGGAGGAGGAGGAGGAGGAGGAGGAGGAGGAGGAAGAGGAGGAGGAGGAGGAGGAGGAGGAGGAAGAGGAAGAGGAAGAGGAAGAGGAAGAGGAAGAGGAGGAGGAGGAAGAGGAGGAAGAAGAAGAGGAGGAAAAGGAGGAAGAGAGGAGGATAAGGATTGATGGTAATGGTGATGATGATAAGGATTCAGATTCGGATGAGGATGAGGAAGATGAAGATGAAAAAGAGAAGATGGAGGCAGAAGAGAATGGGCATGATGAGGAGGAGGAAGAAGGGGTGAAGACTGCAGGAAGAGCAAGAGGGAAAGAGGATGGGGAGGAGGAAGGATAGGAAGAAAATATTGATATAAGGGCTAGAAAAGTTAGAGAATTTAACTTTCTAAAACATTTGTTGACATCCTTTCTATCACATTGCTTATGAAATTGATCATGAAACTCTGTTATACAAAATATACATAGTAGTACCAGAGTAACACTTTGTTAAACATTTTGTTATAATGCATCCAGAGATACTTTGAAACCTTCTTTTATTGAACTGTGGTGTAAACTAATATTAATCCTATGGTGCCAGGTAATTACACTGTCTAAAGTGGCTTTCTTTTGTGAATTTTGTATGTACATAGATGCCTCCACAAGTGCAGAGCCACCTAGGAGCCAATTAGTATGCTTATGTACCCTCAGGTGGTTTCCTCTTTCCTTAAATTTTTGGGAACTTTTTATTCAATGCCATTAGTATCGATGATATTACTATTGTCTTTGACATCATAATTATCATAACATCATCAACAATACTAATAGAAATTAAGAAATTAATCCTCCAAAAATCAAGTACTGAGGTAAACAAGTGAGCTAAGGAGGACTGGTAATTGAATCCTCAGTGATTAAGCAATTGTGTAAGAATAACCAATAATCAAAAAGATACAAAGGACATGACATGTATTCTTACCCTCCCAGCAACGATCCAACTCTCTCCTGTTTCCTTTACATAAACTATCACCTTAATCACTCAGCCCCATCAATCAACTACTCTTACCTAAAATTGAAGCCCATTGGCGCTCTGGAATTGAAGAAGGTCACACTGGGCATCTGGGGATTTCCGAGGGTTGATGCTATGGTGTTTGGGGTGACTGCGGGTGGGGTGGGGAGGGCTGGTGAGGTGAAGCCCCCAATACCCCACATGCTGCCTATGTTTGGACGTGAGATGGGGGGGAAACCTGCAGGAGAGGAGGAGAGAGAGGCTGTCTGGAAACTGCTGAACATGGGTGCTCCTACAGCAGGTGGTGCTGCTGGTGCTGCCGCAGGAGGGGGAGGTGGAGGAACAACAGCCTGGTCCACTTCCTCAACAGGGAGGTGCCCCAGGTTGGCTGCCCCCATGCCTACACCAGTACCTACACTGCCTCCCATGGTTCGTACTTCAGAAAAACTCATTGTAGTGCCACACCTGTTGGGGAATGAGAGGAATAAATTAGTGGAAGTACAAAATGCAAGCGTGTTAAAGAAAGCATGGGGTAAAGACCACAACTTTAGCAAAGAAGTTTAAGTAAGCTCAGTAATGGACACTACTTATGTAAAGACATAAAAAATTGTAGCAAACTTTGAATTCTGAAGATACATCAAAGACCTAAAACCAGAACACAACTGAAACTAAGGATATAGGTAGTTCCACACATTCAGCAACAACAAAATTATTACAAAAACTAAAAGAGATAGAATACATTAGAAAAATTGAAATAAACTGTAAGCTATACAAATTAATGTCATGATAAAAGACCATGATTATTTACTATAACTGGGCAAACTGTCATGCTCCCTATTTAAAGGTACAAAGAATAAAAAATAGATTATAAAAGCTTCTTCTTTTCCTCATATTATATACTTACACAATTTCTAGTTAACCCAATGCCGCCAGGGAAAATTAATAAAAACTGGGGAAAATGCTGTGCTCATTTTCTATATTTTTTGTGAAATATCTCTGCACATAGATGGCTGTGCTAGTGCTTAGCCACAAAGGGGTCAGTTAGTAGATCTTGTGACCTTACCTGATTTGAATTGGCGGGAAAAATGTATTTCTTACTAGTGCTATGAATATCGATGGTGTTATTTTTATTATAAACATTATAATTACTATGATGTTATAAACAGCAAAATAAGACACCTTAAAATATTTTCAAAAATCAAAGAGAAGGGTAAATGGGCTTATTGGTGACTTAGTACAAGTGTAGCCATCTATGTGTAAAAACAATCAAACGAGTATAACTCATGGTGGGCATAGCACGTACGTACATGTCATGCCCGTCGGCACTGGGTTAAAATATTTCTTCCTATGAGAGGCACCAGATAAAAAAAAAAAAAAAAAAAAAAAAAAAAAAAAAAAAAAAAAAAAAAATCAACAAGCATAAATTAGCCTTAAAGGAGTCTAGTAGTAAATATACCAAGGAACATCTTATGCTAGGAATTTGTTATGAAATTTAACCCAATAACACCGGGGAAAATGTACAAAAAATGGGGAAAATTATGTGCCCACTTTCTATGTTTTTCGTGAAATGTCTGCCGATAGATGGCTCTGCTAGCGCCTGATATGAAATGGCGGGAAAAACGTATTTTTCACTAGTGCTATGAAAATCGATGGTGTTATTTTTATCATAAACATTATAATTTTCATAATGTTTTTTAACATTAGTAACAGCAAAATAAGATAACGTAAAATATTTCGTAAATCAAAGAAACGGGTAAACGGGCGAGACGGGCGGTACTCGTAGTTGGCTCATTGGTGATTTAATACAAGTGTTGCCATCTATGCGTAAAAACAATCAAACAAGTACTCACGGTGGGCATAACACGTACATACACGTCATACCCGGCGGCATTGGGTTAAATAGACTTACAGGGTCGTCTGGATATTATAAATCTGGAAAAAATAACAACTTACTAA